GGGGGGGAATATGCAGGAATCCTCGGTGGTCCGTGAGGACATTTCAAAAGACTCGGATGAGGAGTTCATTTTCAGACTATGGGAAATAAATGGTTGGGATCGGCGTTTGTTTAGCGGGAGCTCGAGCATCAATCACTACGAGGAGCAGCAGCCCGGAGCCCGGGGAGATGAGCCTCGTTGAAAATTGAAAGGAGAGCCGCTGGAGATCCTCCACCATGGTGCAATCAATTTTATAAGCGGCATAGATCGTTGCGAGGGAGTTGGGCAGATGATACAGCACTTGGGTATAGGATAGAAGCCACGAAGAGTTGACCCGTCAGCCCTATCAACCATAATCATCAAACATCGACAGAGCGATCGATTGACCTCTATGTATCCGCTACCACCACGTCGATCCACATCTCGTACAGCGTATGGGGGCAACCACCGGGCAGTCAATACAAGCTTATCCACAGAGTCTAGTCCCACGCAGGTGGCTGAAGGAAGCTTTTTGGAGGCACCAATAGCTAGCGCAGACGCATGCGGGCAGTGGATCAGGGCTAAAGGGTGGTGCATCTGACACAGACTAGTACACTTATTTACCGTAGCATATCCCTGGGGGTTGGCTACGTTTAAGCTTAGCTTATCCTGGTAGTGGTGCTATACCATACACTCCGCGGGGGCTTTGTGAGGAGGACCAAGGATTTCCAGAGAGAACCACGGCAAAGAAGAGGACGAATCAACAGCAAAGCAGAATACAGTCACGAAGATGGTCGTGGTGCTTCTTAACTTCCATCTTCTGCAATTATGGCTCGTCTCATCTGCTTTGCCTTTGTGCTTCTCTCCTTCCCTGCCTTCTTCTCTCTCGACCTCTGCTTTCACTCGTTCTCGCTCGTTCTCACTCGTTCATCAACACATAATCAAATAAGAGACCTCGGATTTGGTATCATCAAAATCAATATTCGATACTCTTCTTTCGAAACCCTCGTCTGGAGGGAAATGCCACTGTCGCGAAAGTCCCGCCTGCACCCAGGAAGCAAAATTCAATCAAGGAGTGAGATATCAGCATGCAAGACCTAAATCTAGCACTGACACCAGTCCACATGCTATCGCTCTCCTATCCATCTGCGCCGATGTGAAGCCCTGCTCAAGGCGATTGTGGTGGGGGGAAAGGGAAGAATTTTGGTATGTACGTCAAAAGGAACCGGAAGCCACCGAGAAAAGAATTGGGAGGGAGGAGGGAGGAGGGTGGGGAGAGAAAAATAGGCAAAAGGGCCATTTGCAATGCTCCATCCGTCGCTAATAAAAAGGGAAGGGGAATTTCCAAGAAAAGAAAAAAAAAATGAACGAAGCTCGTAACGAGAAAACAGAATAGCAAGCCACCCCCTTGTAACTCACTCATTTCTTCGAATCGTCCGCCTTGGATTTTTCCTCGGTCTTATCGGTTTTGTCGGTCTGCTCGGTCTTCTCCGTGGGTTTAGCCTCTTGGCTACCAGTGGTGGCGGGCTTCTTTTCTTCCTTGGCTTCGGGCTTAGGTTCGGGTTCATCCTCGACCTCCTCGCCGTAAAAGCGACGTAGGAACTTCTCGACCTTGGCGTATTCGACCTCGACCTCCTTCAGGGTCTTTTCAGTATTCTTCAAGGCGACATCATCGGCCACCTTGCCGGATCCGCTCTCGTCGAGACGATTGCCAAAGTGCTGGATCTTTTCACAGCCATCCCGCACGTGAACGAGGCCCAGAGTAGCAGAAGAGCCCTTCAGGAAATGTCCGAGCTGGGACAGCTCAGTGAGATCCTTTTCGTCACTGGAATGAACGATTAGAATGTGTTTTCAATGATTCGAAAGAAAGCAAGTGATGCCTACTTACAGAGCAGTCTTGATCTTGGTGAACGTGGCCTTAGCTTGGTCGAAGAAACCGTAGACGATACCCTTGCTGAAGTCACAGTCATCGTCATCGTCCATCTCCAGGATCTGCTCGAAGGTACTCTCGTCGATAAGATCCTTGACATCGGAGAGCTTAGGAGGCGCCGCCTTGGCCTAATGATGAGGGTGAGTTGAGAGGCTGCGAACACGGTCAGGGATGGATACGGCTCGCAATACATACGTCCTTTTTGTCGGCAGATGCCATGTTTAGTGAATGTGTGAGGAGAAAGACAAGAGCCTCGAAAGGAAAGTAGGATCAGCCTTTTCCACTGAGCAGATCGTCAACGGATCGATCGAACTCCGGTTGCCCGATCTGGTAGTCCAAGACCGAGAACGAACGAATCTGCAGTATATCTCAGTCAGCCGACAATCGATGCATGAAATTTTGTGTAAACATGAAATAGGTAGTGAGCGCGAGAGCCGAAGCAGGAGCGAGACGTGATCAAACGACCGATGCACGGTGATTCAACACCACAAGATGGAGGCCGCTGAAAGGGTGGTTCCCGAGGACAGAGCCCATCCACGAATGGATGATGCTGCCTCACAAAGCCAGGGATGAGAGTACGTGTCTTCTCACGAGTGACCGTGAGTACTCGCCAGGGTGGGATGGAGGGAAGTGAAGACGAGAGTGACGCTGAAGGAAGCAAAATACGAGATTCCGGATTTTCATGTGTAGACCTTCGAGCACGTCCACGATGATGACCGCCACAGTCTCACGTTCAGTAAGAAGGCAGATCTTGCGTTGTGGTGGCTGAGGGCTGGGTGGGTGGGTTGGTGGGCTGAAGAATGGGTATTCGAAGCCAGCCACGAAGACCAGAAACGGGTCTGAACACGAAACGCAAGAATAGGGTAAAAGGCAAGGGCACGGAGTGACGGGTCAGAAGAGTCAAAAAATGGGCAGCTTACTGTGCGATGCCGCAAGCCGATGAGAGACGGGAGAGGACGAGACAGGGTTGAAGGGAGAAAGGAAGAGAGACCAGGAAGAACCAAAAGGGAGATCGGAGGGAGGAGGGGGCCAGGGCCAGGGTCAGTGCCAGTGCCAGTGCCAGGTCAAATTGGGTAGATGTGGAGGGAGGGAGTGAATGAACAGAACGGTCGTGGCTCCCGACTAGGTCGACAGAAAAGACAGAAAAGACAGAATATGGATAATATGGATCCCGGAAGAACGAAAAGAGGAGCAGCGATGGCCCAATTCAGGCATATACTGGCCGTGACCGCGGGGACTTCGAAGCACCACCTGCAGCCCCGAGGGTTGAATGGGTCTTCCCCCCCACTAGCCAAGAGGAAGAGAGCGAATAGATAGAAAACTAGCAATGAAAAATGACCCAAATACGACCAATCAAAAAGGCAGACGATCAATCGGGTCTCGCGTGTAGTCAAGAGAGGGGTTTTTGATGCCCGCGCTCGAATAGGAGAAGAAAAAAGGAGGGGCAGAATTATGACGCTATGCAGTAGATTGCGTTGCAGAGGGGGTCCGAAGTATGAAAGGAATTTTTCAGAAAAGTGCCCTTACCTTTGGGAGAGGTTTGATAGTTGTTGTCGTTGGTGGATATGCAAAAGACAAGCCGATGCCCAAGACTCGGGGGGAGGGTAAGAAAGGGAGAAGCAATATCACGGGAAGTTGGTTGGAGAGCGTGGAAGAGAAATCAAAGTTACGGCACGACGAAGGGAAGTTAGCGAGAGGAGGGCGGTGGTACGGTGGGTAAAATTAGCCCAGAACTTGGGTTGGTATCGTGGTATTGTACCGTAGTCACGGTGGTCTGGCTGGGCGACGAACACCCAGATCACCGGGCGAAAGCCGGTATTACCAATACAGATTGGTAGCCGCATTACCCCTAATACCCGATCTGGTATCACCCATACATCCTCATACCATCCTGTATTGCAATGATCTGGCGTATGTGCACTTGGAACGACGAACTGCCCTCCAACGGGTAACGGCTCGTCTCCGGCGAACCACCCTTTTGACAGCCGCACGGTTGACAGCGCTTGCTGCACTAGCTTCGTCTGGCCCGTTGGTGATACCGTAAGATCTAGCACATCAGATATTGAAAAGTGCTCAACCTCTATTTTTTAGAATCTACTATCCTTCCATTCTTGACCGTTAAATATACCAAGTTGAAGAACTATCACTCTACATTACTTTACTCTCCCAATCTCCCTAGTCAAAAATGTCTCATCGAGAGCTTCCTAATAAACGATCAATTAATCTAGGATACAACGTGGATCTCATCTGATACCATCGGCTCCGAGGAATTTGGATCTTCAGGAGCACGACTTTTCGGACTCCGCTCGAGTCCGCTATTACTATCCGACCAGTGGAGTGAAACCACGACCCCCTCCAACGTGCTGGGCTTACGATCCACCGGGGACCAAGCAACGGCATGAGATCATCGGCAATCCCCCACGGCTTTTGAACCGAATCTTGACTGGGTGAAATCTTCTACAGCTCATGATAAATAGCGACATCGAATGGCAAAGGGATCATCCAGATCCAGTACGGACACATCTTGTGATGGGATGGCATGGTCGATATACCATATCATCGGGCAACATCCCAGAACACTGCGGAGCCAGTTTTTAGGCTCTACTCCGTATTTGGGCCACGCTACGGTCATGGTAATACTCATTAGCAGCCGCGCAACGACATCATCAGGCTGCCGATCACAGGGCTCATCCCTCTTCGTGACCCTCGAGCCGCACATGGAAACCTACCATCCTCCCGTTTCGCTGGTCAGGTTTCGGGGGAAGGAGTTTTTTTCCTGTTCCTTTTTTGCTTTTTGACCCATGCTCCAAGGAAAATAGCAGTACCGACAGCGTGGTAATCCCCACCGGAGTCTCCAGACAAACAGGAAGGAGAGCCCAGGGATGCATGGCCCAACGCAGTCAACATTCGCACGAAAGATAACGAAAGCACGAATCGAAAGACTGGTCGTCCAGCATGAACAACCCTCGATCAAAGAAGCAAAGTTGAAAACATAAGAATAGTCGTAGACAAAAGGGACACGGAGACTCGCAAATGTAATCTGAGGATAGCGCCAATTCGCACAGAGATGGGAAACCTAGATCTGGTGTGAGAAAGCAGATACGTGAGACTGGCAGCCGTTAGGCACAACGAGAAGAATAAATTCTCCCAACAGGATCAGCCGGTCTGGGCCCCGAAGGACCTCGGATGGCGAACCAGAAAACTTGCGACGTGGAATGCAAGAAGCCTATCCCAAGACCCCCCGCCCCCCCTTTTTTTTCCCATTGCGGTCTTTTTTCCACCCTTGCCGGCTCCAGCGATGTCATGCTGCATGAATTTTCAATGTTTGACTTGGATTCGATTTCTGACGTAGGAGCTCAGCTGAGAAATCAGACGGGTTTTCGGGCACCATGTGGTTTTCTGTTCTGTTGCGGAAGGGGACTTGGGTCGAGGAGGGGGTATGGGATTCAGCGGGCTAAACCGCAGGACATGATTATGCTGTCACCGATGACGAGGCTGGAAGAGAAGAAAAAAAAAGAAAATCAAATATATAGGGCTGGCGGTCACGGTCACACTTGCCATGTCAACCGATCTCACTCCCGGAATGAACACGGAGGCTCGCCATATCCGCTATCAGAATGAATTGAACGCTCATCAACTGATCAAACATCCCGGATCTGGCAATGAAGCTTGTCCGCTCGCTCCCGCTGTGCCCTTTTGTTTATATAGCAAGGACTACCGTTCCTCTCGCGGGGAGTTGCCTGCTTTCTCTCGCATGATGTGGTTCGCCCCGAGGTTGGACCGCCAATCAGCGAGGGCAATAACCGCCATGACATCACGGCGGGGCCGTGGGCCGAATCGTGCAGCCTCTGATGTCATTTCTGGTATCGCTTAATACGGCCCGCATACGGGCATGATACGCATCTGTCCGTATGGAGTGGTAAAGATGTCGGTATTGCACGTAACATCGTCAACATCGTGGATCCGATTCAATCACCATGAGCGAATGAGCAATCACCGAGAGGAGAAGCTTAGTAGTTTAGATTCTCGAGCTTAAACCGTTTCCACAGACGGCAGAGACTATACAGGGTCCCTGAAACTCCTACCTTTATTACCCCGGGCAGCGGCAACAGCTTGACAATCACTGTTCACTACATACTTCATATACTTCACTTATTACCAAGGCCTACCCGAATCTGGCCCAGGCTGCTGGCTGACACTGTGAACTAGACCCGTCCCGGTAAATGCAGGGCAACATCATCGGCTGCGACCATGATGTCAGGGTGCATATACACAGACTGACAATGCAGGATGGACTTGCCAAATATTCGCGGCTTGTACGACGTGAGATTAGCCTACTACTTCGAGAGAGTGGCCTTCTGACGTTAGACTGAAGTTTACACCACCAGCCTTGTAATTGCGCTGTCACCAAAAGGACCTTGAATAATGCACACCATCTTTGAAATGACAACCGATAATGGTGATACAAAGAACCTCAACTCAAAAAGCCGAGGCGCACTGTATACTACAAAGACACTCCCCCACTACTCGCACGACCATCACCGAACAGGCCCGATCCTTGTCCGCCGTCGGCAGAATTACACTCTCCACCAGCCAAAAATCTCAATGCCATCTCGGGATTTGCTGGATCTGCTTTACTGAGTTTATGGATCTCTGGATTTCATCCAGTAAGACAGAAGACACAAGATACGGTGGCTGGCCTTGTACCAGCCACAACCAAGCCTGGTGGCAGCATGCGGCACTTTACTTACAGGCCGAAGCCATAAAACGGATCGATAGCGTGATCAAAGCAGACAACCATGGCTTGAAGATTTAACTTGGCTTTTACCAGGTCCTTTTTGAATCCATGCTTCCCCGCTCCATTCTCTCCCAGACCCACCTGATGTTTTGCTTCGAAGAATGATTAATACGAGGTTGTCAGGCGCTAAATGAGCGAGGAGGAGTGGATGGGAGCCTAGTGGGCCCCCTCGGCGGGCTGAATCGTACAGCTGGACTGGTAGCAAAAATACATATTAATGGGGAGACGATAGTCTAAAGATATCGCGGGTGGAATAGGTGGCGCAGGCTAGATGGTGTCGACTGAAGCTGCATCTGTTGGCTGGGGAAGAGTTCCGTTTGGCTAGCCTCGGGCCTAACCGTTAGCGAGTACCCTAAGTTTACCCGGGCCAAAGTAGCTAATCAGCGTGGTTTGGCAATATTGGACTTTTGTGGAGGTCATTACTGAGAAATTTTGATACTGAAATAATGTGAGGCTATAACCTAGAGATTTTTAAAAGTACATCTGGGTCTATGAGAATCATACAAGGTCGAGGACAAGAAATATCTTAGCTGCGGGTTTTGGTCCTTCAACCGTCAACCGATGGGTGGTCAGATCGAATACGGCGTCCCTGTGCTACACGAGCTATAACATCATTCAACCATGGATCTAGGTAAGACGCAGTGCCTGGACCACCAGATGATAGGCACAGCACAACAAAGTGCATACGTACTTCAAAAAGTACTCAATCTCCAACTCAATCCCCACAGAAAAAAAAAAACGAACAAACGCTCCAAACTCTCCCCACATGGCAATCTTCTGGAATGCTTATGTAACACCAACCTCGGTCCCTTTTTTCGAGCTCAACCAGGCTCAACACTTCCAGTATCTAATCCTCTTTGCTACCATTCCTCTCTTTCTCTCGCCGCCAACCCTTCTAAAGGACATACCCAAATCATGGCCTCGAAACAATCAACGTCCCGCCCCTCAGGGCCCACTGGCCTCACACGCGGCTACCTCTTCACCTACAATACCGCCAATCTACTCACCTGGGGAACATGCCTGCTCTACACAGCCAGTCTTATCCCGAACGCCCTAGCATCCAACACCCTCTCTTCGATCTTCCCCACGACCTTCAACCCACTCCTTCTAGCGACGCAATCTCTTGCTCTCCTCGAGGTACTGCACAGCCTTGTGCGCCTCGTGCGAGCGCCGTTCATCACGACCGCTATGCAGGTCGCGTCGCGACTCCTTGTGGTGTGGGGGATTCTGGTACCTTTCGGTGGCGAGATTGTCGGTGCGAGGGGTACACAGGTTGGTGATTATGCATACCTGGGTTGTGTGGCGGCTTGGGGCATCACGGAGGTAATTCGGTATGGGTTCTTTGCCATTACGCTTTCCGGGGGGAATGTACCTGCTTGGTGGACGTGGTTGCGGTAAGTCATCCTTTTTTTAATTTCTCTTGATTCAGTGGGTGTTGGTTGGAAGGGTTTACTGATATTTGCGATAGGTATAACACTTTCTACGTGCTATACCCGATTGGTATTACCAGCGAGTGTACTTTGATTTTCAAGGCCCTGGGTCCTGCGGGTGAATTGAACCCCTTGTTCCAGTACTTTTTGATTGCCGTGCTGGTTATCTACGTGCCTGGTATGTTTATTGTCGAACTGCATCTATGATTTGTATCTGTCGGGGGTTTGCTAATATTGTTTAGGCTCTTATATCCTGTACACCCACATGATTGCCCAGCGCCGCAAGGTTCTCCGCGGCAAGAAGCGTGCTGATTAGATACCGTGCTATCCTGCGTTTACGCAACGAGTCGAGTACATCAATTTATTGTTGGTAGAGAGTGACATACTGTGGAGTTGAAGGGGGGGATTCTTCGAGATACAAAAGTATCTGTAATTGTATAGACTATGTTTGGTTTTATGGTGCCAGACCAACGAGTATAAATATCTAATGAATAAATGATGGAAGTTGAATCTTCAAGATTGTGGTAATACGATACCTCTCAGAATATCTCTACACAATGCCTAGCTTGAGAATACAGGTGCCCGATTTGACCGTACAAAGCACATGCTTGGCGAAGCTTAGCTTGCAATGCACGAATACATACCCGTTGAATCCCTCATGTCAGCAAGAACAAGAATCTATTCCAATTCTACCAATTCATGCAAACATGCAGTCTATAGTTCTCGCATAATATCAGACACAGCCTTTGCAGCAAACTTCCTCCGCTCACCTTCAGGCAGCTCTGATCCCATATCTAACAGAGCATTAGCATCATAAAAGTCAAATCGCACACACCCAACAATGATCACCTATCGACTCACCTCGAATAGCCTGCATTCGCATCATAAGAGTCTCAATCGACTCAACTTGCAGCTCCTCGTCCCCATCATCACCATCAAGATCACTCTCATCGCCATCACCGCCACCACGCTCAATGGCCATGCGCAGACCCATCATTTCCCGCTCCAACTCTTGTACTTCATGACCAAAGCCGCTCGTATGCGCTGATCTCCCGAAGCCTAGAAGCTCTTCCTCAAGATCATCAGCGAACCCGAGGTCTGCATCGTCGAGATCGTCTGCGCCTCCGGATGTGCTCCAGTCGTGCGTCTCCAGTACTTCCTTAATGCGCGGCATGCCCTCACACTCTATCCATGACCCACGAATTAGTCTCGAAATCCTGTAACCGGGAGAAGCCCACAGAAGAGAACGATAGGAAGAGCACATCATCTTACCTCCAAACTTATTCCTCGTCTTCTCAACACCCTGCTCCGCAGGATCCCACTCAACAACCTCCCACCCAAAAAGACCCATATCAAACAACTGATCCTCCCACCATCCCACCGAGAACGGCGTATCCGCAGCACCCTCAAAATCCACATCATCAACCCCCAACTCCAACCCCCTATCCTCATCCGGCACAGATATCTTCGGCGCAGCAGAACTCCGACTCCCCACCAAAACAAACACACCCACTACGTCTCCATTCCCACCCCGCTCCTCGTCAATACAGCTCTTGACAGCGCCAACGTCACGCATCAAATCCAGTACCGCACGGACATCTGCGCGACTCGCAGGGTCTATGTCTGCGTCCGCTGTAGATGTGGCGGTCCGTTTAGGCTCGGGACTGTGCACGCAGACGACTAGAGCGCCGACGGCATCGCGCACGATTTCAGCTTCTTCACTGAGGAATTCGGCGCGCCATTGGCCTGGTTCGGATGTATTTGTAGTAGCTGCGGGGCTTTCGGTCGTGAGGGGTATCTCGTCGACCCATAGCGGGATCTCTGCAGAGTAGTATTTCGTGTCGAGGCGGAGTGGGCTATGGGTTGTATAGCCGGCGAAGGAGGTTGTCGTTGTGGTGATGGGTGTGGATGTGTTATCGGAGGGTTGTGGCGGAGTTTGCGATGGTGATTCAGAGGTGGCATCGTGTTGTGGGGGATTGGTGACTGGTACACCGGTGAGAGAGTGTAGGAGAGGAGGAATTATTGAGAGCGACTGGGATGTTGGGGTGAGAATGAGCAGCCGTCGTGGGTTGGCGATTTGCTTGGACCGCAACTTGGATGGCTCCGCGGGGGAGCTGGCGGATGCCGTGGGAGTCATGGTGCGATATGTAGGGCGTGTTACTGCTGTAGAAGGCGGACTTTGAGAGGACACGATATCTTTGTTAACCAGGGTCCAGTCTAGGCTAGTTCAAGAGAAAGACGAAGGTTGTGAGGGTGGCGTGAGGTGTTGGGAGGAAGTTCGGTCCCCGCGTCGCCAGAGAAAAAGCTGCGGGGATGTGAATGAGTGGCCGATACGGCTATCGCTATCAGATCCAGTCTAGCTCTAGAGACAATATGCTACAAGACCAGGTACATCTAGATCATACAGCTCAATTTATTCGAATCCATTGACATTATGATTTATTTTCAAGCCCTTTCGCTAGGTACCAAGGCTGTGATAGCGCTACGCGGGGCTATCATTCTGATCACAAACTCGGCCCACCAACAGACCAGGCCAGTCTAAGTCAGTTTCGGCCACCAGGATATCCAAACTCGTATCGGGTATTCATTCAGATCGGAGGGATGATAGAGAGTCATGAGGCAAGTTTCTTCCAGCTCAGCCTCAGCAAGACGGACAGAAGCCTGAGAAAATTTCCACCTTTCAAGGAACCCTGGAAGAAAAAGAGAAAGAAAACATATGACCAACGCCAACCACAAGGTAAAATCTCCAGGTCTTTAAACTGCGCTCTCGTCTGGTCCCATCACATTCAACCTCTCCGCTGGCCACGCGCACGCTGCACGGTAGCCTTACCACGGGCGAGACCGACACCACGGCCGCGCTGGCCTCGTGAACGGAACATGGGGGCGTTCCTATAGAGGGCAAGGAATATTAGCGGTCGTTGACAACCAGGCACGGGATGGCTGATAAAAGCCATCATCACTGGGGGTACGAATCTCAACCTACCTCAGCATGTCCGGCACGATGAAGAACCGCACGTGGCTACCCCGAATATAGACCTGGTCGAGATGAGAGACACGGCCATCGCGAGCTGTGACGGTGATATCCTTGAGTTGCACGTTCATGTTGTCCTCGGCTGTTCGGAGAGAAGATTGTTAGCGAAGGATTCCACCGCGTCGGTGATTCAATCAAGTTTGAATGCCATTGTCGAGCTTCCAATCGAACCCTCGGATTGAATCAAGAAAAATGATATTGCAGGTACACACCTTCCAGCAGCTTCCCCCGGTAGACAACACCAGATGTGATCTCGAGGGTCACGACGTGGCCCTGTAAAGACAAAGTTAGCGGTCTGCGCGCGCACTCCAACAAACTGGCATCTCTCGTGATATTCCTTCCGATCAAATGTCCAGCAGAATGTTTGCAGATATCGGGAACCAATAACGCACCTGCGCTTCGTTCAGGAGCTTGATCGGGATACCGATCGTGCTAGTGAGCTTGCCCATCTTGACGGCGGAATGTGCGACACGAAAGGAAAATCGGTTCGAATAGGCGAGTAAAATATGTCAATGGTAATGACACGGGACTACTTGGACGTGTAGCACCACGTAAAGGTATCGAGTATGACGGCGTTGGGTGGGGGAGGGAATAGCGATGGAAGAGAGAGACCGGAGGTTGCGAGACGGCGAGTTTTGCGGCTAAGCTCCTCCTTTCCGCTTTGGGCCAAGAACTTGGAGCAATCTAAAAGTCTCCAACACTCCAACGCTCTCTCTCTTTCTCTCCGCTACAAATACCACACCACCAACCCCTCCATACAACAATATCGCAAATGGACATCAACGAGCCACACTGAAATATTCCCGCAAATACCTCAAAAATCCACTCCCTACCTCACCATGGCCGGCTCACCCAACTCCAACCTCCGAGGCTTCAACCACGCCGTCCAAACCCTCCTCAAACAACCCTCCCAATTCCTCCCACACCTCACCATCCCGACATTCACTCACCTTCCCGAGAATCTAGGACCACACCTAGTCAACTCTACAAACCAAATATCCGCCGAAAAGCCACCCCGCACCCCAACAATCCGCGCCCTAGTCCTAGACAAAGACAACACCCTCTGCCCCCCCAAAACAACAACCTTCCCCCCTCAAATCCTCAATAAACTAAAAGCCCTCCGCGAATCCCCAACCTCTCCTTTCCGCAAAACCACAAACCCAAACGCCATCCTAATAGTCTCCAACCGGGCCGGTAGCCACCCGTCCTTCGACCACGAAGTACGCGCCCTGGAATCCCAACTCTCCCACCTCTCCATCCCAGTCTTCCGACTACCCGCAGGCGCAGAAAAAAAGCCCTTTTGTGGAGAGGAAGTGGTGCAGTGGTTCCGGGATCGTGGGGTGATTCAGTCGCCGAATGAGATTGCCGTTGTTGGGGATCGATTGGGGACGGATGTTATTATGGCCGGGATGATGGGATCTTGGAGTGTTTGGTGTAAGGAGGGGGTTTTTGAGGTTGGGGAGGAAGGGAAGCCCGAGAGGAATATCTTGGAGAAGATGGAGGTCTGGATTGAGAGGTTTTTGAGGGAGAAGAAGGGGTGTGTGGCGCCGATGCCGAAAGGGTGGGAGGAGTGATATAAGTTGAGCAGGGTGAAGACTTGAGAGCATGATATGAGTAGGGCATGGGGCATATTAATGAATGTATATTACTGATATATTACCTGGCATCGTGGTGGATTATTCTCTGCTTGTATGATACTGAGTCGATCTTGACATATCCCCCAGCGAAGTTAAAACATATACGCATCGGTCTACGAACTACTGGAACAAAGTTTGCAAGAAAAATGAATTGACTCTCAAGGCTAGCGTCCATCTGCCAGACTCATGTATCGTCGGACCGACATTATGCCTCAGCTCCGAATGGTTTATCACGCGCAGAGACTATTTCAACACTGTGCAGTCGGGAAGCACAAGCAGGGTGACAGCAGTCTCAACCTTTAACAGTGCAAAACAAGACAAGACGACACACCAAGTTCGACTCGAGACAGGCAGGAAGGCCAGCATAGCCACAAGAACGACAATCAGGCACGGGCGGAGCATATCCGTCCGAACCAATTGCCCAGGATCAAGACCAAAAACTCAGAACGATGAGAAGGAAAATAGAAAAAAAATGAAATTGAAAGGGGCAAGGAAGCGCCGTCCAAATGTCGGTCTGTTTGGCATAACCACGTAAAAAAAAAAAGTAAACCTGACCGGTAATGGAAAAGAAAAGGTGAAGAAGAGCTGGTCAGGGTATGAGAAAAGAAAACAATGTGATCATAAGAAGATCAAGAAGAAAAATCGGGAAATCAACCGGGACATCCGGGAAGTCCATCGAGACATGAGAAGAAGCCAAAATGGCAAGATGAAACGCTTCAGGACCGGCCCAGGAATAGAAAGGGTATTGATACAAACACAGAACAGAGAGAGGGATATAAGTCACGCAATCAATCAAAATAACAACCAGTCCAATCGGAGTTGCTTTCCCGGCCTTCACCAGCGAGACGCGTTGTCCAGCATGAGTTCGCGCATCTGCCAGATAGAACGGACAGGGGAGACTCGACCGCCGGACAACAAGGAACCTTCCGAGATGGTACTAAGAACCCATCAATATAAGCGCCACAAGCACTCCAAAGGCCGTGAAACATCAAGAACAGAGTCAAGGAAAGTGAACATCAAAGGCAGGGTGCTAGACCCTTCAAGACCCCGTAGGCAAGCCATGAGAGTTGATTTCGTCAAGGTTGACCATGCCATGCGAGTAATCCCCTAGCGTCGGAGAGGCGTGCCCAGACATGCCGTGCATCGGTAGCTCATAGCTAGGGGCATCATGAGAGACCGTATAGTTCATGTTATGCTTGGAATACATGTCGTTCATGGAAGAAAGCCCATCCTCGGCAAAACCCGATTGTTGATCATGCGCAAATCCATACATATCCGACGAAGCATGAGACATGTTGGACAGAGGCGGGGAGTGATTGGCAATCATGGGATCAGCAGGGCTGACACCCGAGTAGGGCGAAGCAGCGTGTGAACCAATGGTCGAGGAATCTGATGGCCCCGTAGCGAATTGAGAAACGTTGAACTGAGGGGCCATGCTAGCAACGGGGGTAGAATCGCCGTGGGCAGCACTGCTGAACATTGACGGACTAGCAAAGTCGGATGGTGATCCAGCGGTAGTTGCAGACATGGGATTCGTCCGGAATTCGAGGCCATAGCTTTCAGTATCAATGCGCAGATCCGTAGGCAGAGCATGAGCTGACTGGGGAACTGGTGCGTAGATACCAGCCTCGGCGTGGTTGAATGGAGCCGGGGTCTGGGGCATGTGGAATGAGTGCATGGGAGCTTGCAGCGCCGAGATGTCAACCGCCACGGGTACAGAGCGACTTCGTTGGCGTTTGTGGCCACGAGCAGCAGGCATGTTGAAGCCCAGATGGTTGTGGTCCTGGTAAAGGTTCAAGTAGGCAGCAGGGGCAAAGTGGTTGGGCTGAGAGGCAGGGCGTTGAATGAAGGGGGGCGACATTGCAGCGGGGGCGGCGGGGACAGCAAAGTTATTGTTGTTGTTATATGCCAGGCGATTCTGGAAGGACTCCAGGGACACCAACTTGGCCAGCTGGACACTCAAGACCTTGGGATGGCCTCCCAAGTGGTGAACCATGATCTGACTTGCTTGTTGCTCCTCGGTAAAATCACCGCACTGGTAGAAGCCTCCGGAGTTGGAGGAGTCCATGTAGAACAGCGGGGGACGGTTAAGTTCCACCACCAGACCACCAGGCCGAGAAGGGGTGCCATTCGGGCCCGGATTCGGGTCTCCGGTTTCCAGAGTGATGTTCTTGATGTAGGAGAAAGGGTACTCGATTTTGTAACCGGCGGAATCGTTGTTGATATAGTAGGTCATGCAGGCCTTGTCGGGTGAGTAGAAGATGACAAGGTCCATGGCATTCTGGCCAATGCGCCGCCATGTACCGACCGTCAAAGAGCGGCAGGTGAAATGAGAAATGACTATAATGGATGTTAGTGAACCAGGTCAAATGAGAACAGTGATGGGCTGCCCATTCGCTTTCGCATTACATACCGACTTTCCCAGATGGGTTGGCTTCGTTCGGGTACATCCCAGGGGTTCCATAGCCTGCAGCGCGTCCAAAGGGATCACAGGTTCCAGGTTTGCTCGGGTCGAATTGCATCGCAAGATAGTGACGCATTGACTCGGGGATAGAATCGCAACTTTCACCGGTTTCAATGCTCTTCTTGGCGAGCATCTTGATTTTTGCGCGACTATTAGAAGTCAGCGTGCTAGATCCTGATTGGGAAAAACTTCTCGTCAACCAAGCATATAGAGTGGATAAAACCTACCGATTCTGGAACCAAATTTGTACAGATCGCTCCGTCATGTTGATGTCTGCGGCAATGCGCTCCCGGGTGGCAGCAGTCGGCGTAGGGTTCTTGTTGAACTCGACCTCGAGAGTGACAAGTTGATCTTGGGTTGCCCGTTGGCGCTTGTTGTTCTTCTGCTGCTGGGTCAAGGTGCTCTTGCGCGGCGGGCGACGGGTCGCGCTACCCGAATGGGCCGTCGTAGCATTCGAAGTTGCCGGGGAGGGGGTGGAAGCCGGAGGCGAAGAGGACGCAGTGGTCGCGGTGGTCGCGCCCGAGGGCTCGGATAAGTCTGTCAACAAAGACATGGTTGCGGGTCTCGGGATGCGACAGTTGTGACTGGAGGGATATTCCAAGTATCGGCCGTGTGTTTGTGAAAAGTGGAAATGCTTTTTAGTGGGTTTGCGGTGTTCGATTCTTCCCAAAGAGAGAAAAGTCGATGGGTGACGATCCGGCCGACAAGTGGAGGAGGTGTTGGGTTGCAGAAAATGACAGGATAGTCTTTCAAATCCTATTCTCTCGAAGCAGCGTCAAGCGCGAGAGGATAAATCAAAACAAATGAATGGAAGCGCTCTGGCGAAAGGGAGATCGGATCGAATCGCGTTCGATGATATCCACGTCAGAAACGGGGGTGGTTGGGTGGTAAGGGCGCGTCGCAGATGCGTCCTGGTGGAGGGAGCTGGGAAAGGAAGGTGTATATAGAAAATAAATGGCTGGCCTATGCAGCTCCAATAGAAAGGGCAGTTGATAGCCTCCTTTCTCGACTGAGCAAAGCCTGTTATGACTGGAGAGAATCGAGAATTGGTGGAGGAAATCGCAATACCCGTGTTGAGTCGATCAACGGGGGTGAGAACGGTCGGCTTCGGGAGGGAAGCGTTTCGTAGGGAATTGAAAAGAGTGAGTTCAGAAAGAGCGGTACGGCCGTCGTGAAAGAGTGAAACGAGCGACCTGGCAGTTCAAAAGAAAGGAATGGCGGGGGGGAAGGGGGGATAGAGAAAAAGGGAATGAAGACACACGCAGAGCAAAAGGGAAGAAGAGAGAGAGAGAGTCTCGAGCCCATCGTCGGAGGAGGAGCGGATCAGGAGATGCTGACTACGCAAGCACAACAAACCCGCCCAAGCCGAACCCAAACGGCCCTTTCACGGTTGACTACCACCCCCAAAGACCAAGGCAGAATTCTTTTAGCTGATCTAGCTGGATTAGTCGGGTTAGCTGCTGCTACTATTGGCACCTCGTGGGGCAAGGTCCGGTCGCTTCGAACCCAAAGACTCCTGAGGGCCTCGAATAATCTTTAGCTTAATCACTAGTTCCTAGTACGGGGGGCCCCCTAACTGACTTCAGTAACTAATCTTTCCAGGGCTGCGATGAACGAGAAATCGAAATCGGATCTCAGGAGATTCCCGTGATCTCACTTTTCCTGTTCTAGTCCGAAATACGTGGCCTGCCGTATTGATTCTGTCAAAATACAGTAGCACATACGACTGTACTTCTTTGTTTTTGGCCCCTGCGTCGGCCTGCATACGCCCAAATCGTATCACAAGGGGGGCATTGGGCCCTGGAACGAGGGCACTTCTCCGGACTGGACGAGGGGCAGGAGGTTTTCGCATGTTCCTTGCTCAACTCGGTGCGGGTATGTGTGTGGATTGCACGGGCAAAGGAACTTGTCCCACAGTGGTCGCGACCACTTCTGGACTGTACCACTTATCCAGGGGACGATTCTTGAGGAGAGGCTCCAGAGGGGGCGGGCCCGTCATGAGTTGTGTAACGGCCATGGTGGCGCTTCTGCAACCAGAAAAGAGAGCTCTCTGGTTCTGTGTCTTTGATGTCCGTAGTCTCGACCACCAGGTCGCGCTGATCGTCACCAAGTGCCGCCGAACGGCAATGTACACGTGAGATCCGCGGGGAATCCTGATTCCTGAAACACTGGGCGCTCGTGACAATCGACATGTCGGTTCCTTCCTTTACTCAAGGACGGGGGAACGACAATTGACTGGATCTAGACAAGATCCAGGGTACACCGAGTACATACTGTACTGTATGGACAATATGCTCTCTCTCTCCGTGCTGACTGCATGGAGTCTGCAGCAGTCACATCCTTGGTTCCAGTATTCTATTCCTGTCGTCTCTGTTCCATCCTCTTGGAGTCCAAAAGCAAAAGGCTTTCCCCTTCCAGTTCCTCGGGAGGCTACTTGCCCCTGATTCGAGAACGTCCAAGCCACGGCTCCAGT